CTGACATCTGGTCTAGAAGAAAGGGTCGGAAGCGATCATATGTCTCCCCCCTCCCCCCACAGAACACGGAAATGGCACACCCCGCGCCCCTGTAATAAAGTTGGCCCTGCTCCAAATTTCAGAGAGATTACATGCGCCTATGTCCTAACCACAACATTAATCCTAATCAAACCCTTAACCTTAACGCTTATTCCGCAGGAATCTGGTAAAAAACCGCCCATGTTACGGCCTGTCCGCGCTCCCACGTCCTAGTAGACGATCCCTACTGAATTCGTTTTATATTCACCCCCCCCAGTGACGCAACTCTGTGCGCAACGCTCGCCTTTCGCGGCTCCTAGCAAGTGCGCAAAGGCCAACGTCTGCCTACCCCATTTCGGTTTGGCCAGTCATTTCCCCGTGGATGCTTCACAGATGACCGCTCTGTACACGCTGTGATGAATCTCGAGCTCTCACACTTCGCACGCCGCCCTCTGAGCTTCGGTCGTTCACTCGTCCGACTGTCAAGTTTTTTTTCCAATTCATTTTCCACTATCTCTGTGTGCAGAATATAGTATTTCTCTCCCACACCTGGCATGCCACTTCTTGCCTTTCCAAACGGAACCGGGTCTGAGGGTCTCAGCAGCCGGTTTTTACCCATTAACTTGAGCCACTGCGATACCCTCGCAGCCTCATGAAAACAATTTTCGATGCTCACGGCGTATTAGAGCGGATCTGGAGAACATCAACTACGTTGGAAAGGTCTTACGAAAATCCTTGACCTTAGAGCCAGATGCATTCACTAGAACTTTCAAAATATAACTACTGATTTTCAGTTTAACTAAGACACAAAAAAAGGCACGGAATATTTATTTTTCTTCCGTCCCCTCATCAAGAAGACACACAAACAGAGACTCCTAGTAATAAGAATCGCTTTGTGCTGAATTTCGATCGAATCGGGGTAACTCTAAGGCTACGTGCAATATTTGGCTTAGGGTGAGTGCTAACATTTTGACCTGGGACTGCTTAACCTTCCCGGAA